AAAAAAAATATATATATATATATATTTTTTTTTTTTTTCCTGTGGGAAGGTGCGCATCACTCCTTAATTCTCCCCAGCTCCTTGCAATCAGAGAGGTGTGTGCAGCAGGGCGGGGAATTCCCATTATTTGGAAATTGTTTTGCAGCTGGACCATCGGTGCTTTAATACCGCAGGGTGGGAAAACGAGCAGGAGCAGCCCAACCACACACACACACACACAAAAAAAAAAATCCTCCAGGAGGGAGAAGGTCTCTGACATTTTTTTCGTTAATAGCAGCTTAATATTAAACGCCTTTCATAAACCACGCACATCCAGATCTACTTAGAAAAAAAAAAAAGGGAAAAAAGAGAGAAAAAACACAGAAAGCCTTCATTTCCCCCAAATGTATGGCGTGCGCAGCGCTGTGTTAGCTGCCTCAGTAATTTAATTGGAATGAAACGTGAAAAATGTGTCATTTTTTGAAGAATTTATGCATCGCTTCCTGGAAATCTCATTGTCTTAACTAGCAGCCTACTGTGTTCTGTTTAGCAGGCATAATCGCATTTTTATGTGTCTCCGTATTAGAAGTTAATGTGACCTCCCGTCTTTAGCTGCTGGAAAATAATAAAATAACCTAGGAAAAAAAAAAAAAAAAAAGGAAAATAAAAAAAAAATAAAACAAAAACGAGCCTTTCCCCAGAACGTCTGCATCAAAACAAGGCGCCGCCAGGAAGGAAAAAAAAAAATCTATATTTCGGGTATACATATACATACATATTTATCTATTTATTTATTTATTTATTTTAATATATTTATTTATTAACCGCCCGCCAAACTTATCAACCCCAGCCCGGAGCATCATCCCACTCGGAGCAGCACGATCATCATCATCATCATCCCACCCGGAGCATCATCATCATCATCATCATCATCATCATCAGCACCATCCCGCCCGGAGCATCATCCCGCCGCCGGCAGAAACGGAGAACATCCCCCCCACGTCCCACTAAACACCTCGGATGATTTTTCAGATTCTTTCGGAGCGTGTTTTGCCGCTAAATCTCGTTTTTTTCGGGGCTTTTTTTTGGGGGGGGTCCGCGTGGGGTCCCGGCTGTCCCCGACGGCCGAGCAGAGCGCGCCCCCTGCCGGCCGCGGGGAGCCGCGCACTCCCCACGCGGGACCCCCCCCTTGTCCCCCGTGTCCCCCACAGCTCCCTTCTCATGTGCATTCCCCCTCCCGCCCCTCTGGACTGGGGATTTTCGGTGATTTTTTTGTGATTTTTGGGTGATTTGGGGGGGATTTTTTGAGGTTTTTTGTGATTTTTAGGGATTTTGGGGGATTTTTTTGGGATTTTTGGGGATGATGCTCTCACCTGGCGGGTCTCTCTCCCTCTCTCCCCCCTCGCACACAAGGAGCTTCGTTCTCCCCCACGCACAAAATGAAAGGAGCAACCAAAATTCGCGCTGGGTCGGTTCAAACCAGCGGGATGGCTCAGCCAGGATTGGGTTTTCCCTGAATCCCCGTCAATTCCCACCCGAACAACGCGCGGAGTCAAACAGCCGCAAAAATCACGAGGGAGATTCGGGATGGGGCATCCCCGTGAGAGGCACAAAACGTTGGGAACACGGGGCAGGATTGGCAGTGACTCCTTCTCATCCGTGGCGGGCCAGGGAAGTGGTGGAAGCAGTAGGTGGAAGCTGGGAGAGGGCAAGAATTCTTTTCCCTCCCCAGTTCCATCCTCCACGGGCAGCAGCTCTGGCAGCCAGGGGTGCAAAGGCCGGCCAAACATGAAAAATGAGTTATTTATATATATATATAAAATATTTATATATGCGATTATATATAATATACATATTTATATATAAAAATATAATACATACAATTTTGTGGCTTTATTAAAAAAAAAACAAACAACAAAATCCAACCAAAACCAAGTGTAACTCAGCATTGGAAGAATTCTGGGGAGCACTGTGGCATGGGGACAGCTGTTCTCCCAAGGGATGCACATCCCTTGGTTCAGCAGGAATTAAGCTGGGGAGCCTGAGGGTGCGGGAAAAACAAATCCTTGCTTCTCGTGGTCCCTTTGGCCAGGTCACAGTGGGAAATGAAGACCCAAAGTCCCCCATTTTGGGTTTTCCAGCCCCTTCATGTGCCAGCCATAGGAGCTGGGATATAAAGGGAGATGTGTCACCCTCCTGCATGGAATAACCAAAACATTCCTGGCGGCTCCTACATTAAAAAAAAAATTGAATTTAAATCTATTTTAGGGTCTATATTAATGTAACTGGACTTTGCACCTTGTTGAGGGCTTCTGCACAGCACCTGTGCTTGTGCCACTCCCAGGTGAGGTTTATCCCAGGGGATTTGATGCTCACCTGGGCTGGTTGGAATCCCCTATCCTGTCCCTCCCTTCACACGCCTGAGGAATTCTCTATAACGAGCGTTACTCCTACCATCCACTGATCATTTTATTACTCTTTATATTAGAGCAGGAATGGAAGGAAAAAAAAAAAAAAAAGAAAATACAAGAAAACCTACACAAATTTCCAGCCGAAAGCACATTTTAGTCCCATCCATCAGGGGGAGCGGCGCTCCGTGGCTCCCCTGTCCCCAAGGGGCACTCCCGTGCTCCACGGGAGGACTTCCACCTGGATGTGCCCCCTCACATCACGACTCCCTGGGGCTCCAGCAGCAGGAAATCCCGCAGAGCCCGGGGCAGGGGCAGCAGAGGGATGAGGGAATGGCACCAGTGCTGCAGGCACCGCGCTCTGCCCGCCAGCCCAAAAAGGTCGGTGCTGCTGCAGACACAGAGAGAGAGAGAGAGAGAGAGAGGGGCAAGGCCAGCACCACCCAGCTGGGCTCGGCTTCTCCCGCCTGCCGAAGGAGCTGGAGCTGCTCAGGGATGAGGATCTAAGGGAAGGAGCCCAGGAGTGGCACTGACACAGGGAAAGGGTGGAGGAGGAATTCTGGAATTCTGTGGAAGCACCTTGGGGAAAGCCAGCCCTAGCGAGAGTGCAGCAGCATCCCACAGAGAGCTGGTCTAAAAGAGACCCTGCTCCTGAGACAGGGAAACAAGGCAGGATTGGGCTATGCAGCTTCGGCCTTTCCTTAATTTGGGGGGAAAAAAATCCTTTTCCCCATTGCCCAGAAGCTGAAGGCTTTATTGGCATTGCAGCCATCCCTCACCGGATGGGGCCGGGAACCATCCCAAACCATCCCAGAGCGGGCTGGCTGTGCCTGTTGCACATCCTGGAGGAGCTTTTCCAAACCCAAACGAGTGATGTGTGCTCCTGCTGGGAAGTGCTCTGGCTCCAGGGCCACTTCCAGAGGCTGGGAGTGGATTTTACGGCAGGCTGGGGCAGGAATGTGGCTTCTGAGGATGGTGGAGCTGAAGAGACGCAAACCTAGAGGGATCAGGTGTGTGGGGCTGCTCTAGGGGAATATTCCTTTTGATTTTTCTCCATCCAAGTGAAGCCCAGATGGGGGAAAAAAACCCCTCCCTGTTCTGTGGGGAAAACAAACCACTGTTCCATGGGGAAAACCCTGCCAAAGCAGCAGTGCTGCCTCACCTGGAACACCTCCTCTGGCACGACTTTGGACCACTCCTGGCAGACGGGGATTTGGGAGTAGGAATTGAAGAGGACCTCGATGACCTCCGGCACGGCCGCGCAGGATTTCAGCACCTGTGCAGGGCCAGGTGAGGGCTCAGACAGAGAGGCAGGGATGACACCCACCTGCTGCAGGCAGGGTTTGTCCAAGCCCAGCACGCTGTAGGCTGGGAATGCCCCGTGTCAGGAGCAGGCAGGCGCAGGGCTGCTCCTGGTGCCCTCGGGAGCTCCTGCTCCATCCATCTGGGAAGTCCCGCCTTACTGAGGCACTTCTTCCTCTGGCTGCTGCCCTCGCTCCTCATTGGCATTTTTGGCTTGTGACTGACGAGGCAGGACAATGTTTTCCTTAGGGTTTGATGTCAAACCAATGGAAGGCAGCGCCACGAGGCACCTCCTGTGCCGAGCCTCTCTCTGATATTCCCTAGGCAGGGAAAAATCCCTCCGAGCTCCATCCAGCCCTTCTGCTGGGCCTTCATTCCCGTCATTCCCCAGCCCCACAGATGGGAAGCTCTCCCAAATCCTCCCACCCAAAGCTCCGAGCCGCAGGAGCCCCGGTGCTGGGGTTCTCCGTTTTGGGGCCGTACCTTGACGAAGGCGGGCGGCCGAATCTTGCGGGAGCCGTGGTTGAGCAGCAGCTGGACGGTGAGGTGGGGACGCTGCCCTGCAGAGCCCAGCGCAGCGGGGACACGCCGTCGTAGTGGATGGCGTTGGCATCGGCGCCGCGCCAGCTCCGCCTCGGCCGCCCCGCACGCCCGGCGCAAGGGGCTCCTCCCGCTCTCGTCCCGCGCCTCCACGTCGGCGCCGTGGGCGGCCAGCAGCCGGAAAAGCTGCAGGGAATCGCTGCCCACCCCCGGGGGATGCCCGCAGAGGATGCCCGGCGCTGCAGGTAGAGCCGGGCGTGGTAGCACAGGCGGTGCCGGGCGGCCACGTGCAGAGCTGTGTCCCCTCCCGCCTCGATCGGCTGTCCCACGGCCGCCCCGTGTCTCAGCAGGAGCCTGGCACACCTGCGGGAAGGTGGGATGGACCTCCAGGATGGGGTTGGAGGGGCGGTGTGGGCTGGAGCCACGGGGGATGGTGTGGTGGGAGATGGGGTGAGGTGAAGGGTGGAAGTCGTGCTGGAGATGGGATTGTGGCACTCGGGGATCTTGGGAGGGAGCAGCACAGGCTGGTCAGGGTGGCACGGTGCCCTGGTGCTCTCCACAGTGAGGGTAATGGTGGTTTGGGCAATACCTCCCTCTGCTCCTTGATCAGTGTCAGTCATGGATGGTCATCCTTGAGCATGTTGGACTGTCCTTAGCCATCCTGACCATCTTTGACCATCCTGGACTGTCCTTAGCCATCCTGACCATCCTTGACCATCTTGGGCTGTCCTTAGCCATCCTGACCATTCTTCACCATCCTTGAATACCTTGACCATTCTTTACCAACCCCAACCATCCTTGACCATCCTTGACTGTCTTCAACTGTCCTTGACCACCCTGATCACCCTTGGCCACCTTGGGTGTCCTCGACCAGTCTTGACCATCCTTGACCATCCCTGACCAGTCTTGAACACCTTGACCGTCCAAGGCCCTCTTGCTTGGATATAAAAATGGATTTGCCTTCTCCTTTTGAGGGAGAACACCCTGTGGTTGTGCTCCTGGTCCAGAGGATTGTGTTTTCAGAGAATCACAGAATATCCTGAGCTAGGAGGGACCCACGAGGATCATGAAGTCCAAGAAAGAAGCTTTAAGCAACCTTTACCCCCCCCGCCTCTTTAATTTTCATCTAATGCTCTTTTCTTTCAGCTCAGCTGTCACTGGAGCCTGGTGTGAGGTTCTGGGCTGACAAAGAAGCAGCAGGATGGGGAGAGAAGTCCCAGCCTGGTCCTTCCAGCAGCAGGGATGGGGAAGAAGAGGAACCTTAGGGAGGAGGGACAGCACCAGGATATTGCTTGTTTTTCCTGGCCCAGGGGAATGCTAATGTACATGGGGGAAATATCAATACTAAAAGAACGAGATAACACTACTAATAATACACTTGACTTTTTGTGGACCTGCCTCATCACCTCCCCAAGGATTTGCTGGGAGGATTTTCACTGTCCTTGGCAGTGCAGAATCTACAAACACCTCTCTGGGCTGCTTTTCCCGTGCATCTCAAGCCTGAGTTTGCCAGGAAAAAAACCCTCAGGGCCTTTTTTTGCAGCCTGGGTGTTGCAGCATTACCTCTGCAATGCTCCCAGAGGTGCCAGCCCTCACCAGAGGCATCCACCACGGATTCTCTGCTTGAGGTGTGCTTGTGTGAGAGTGGATGTAGGCAGAGTTGTGCCATTCCCAAAATCCTCAGATCCTTACTTTCCAATTTCTTTTTTTTGCTCTAGGATGCTGAATCCCTTTCTCAAGGGATTTTTTTTGTCTCCCTGAGCTTTTTTGAGGTTTGCTGGCTGCTGTTGGAGGAGATCACTCAGATGCTCAGTCTCTTTTATTGGTCTTGTCCATCCTTACAGCAGGGAATTTGTAGCCCTGATTATAATTATTCACTTGGGACCTGTCAGGAGTAGCTTAATCCTGATGTCACAGGTAGCTCTAGCACCCTGAAATAACTCAGGGCAAACCAAGGGATGGTTCTGCAGGGAAAAATGAGGAAAAAAATATCACTGACTTGGCTGCAAAAATGCTGCATCCTAGACTGTGAGAAAAATCCCCTTTTGTTCTGTTTTTCTTCTTTTTTGGGGGTAGATGAAAGCATTCCCAGGCAAAGAGGCAGCTGTGCCCAGAGACCCTGGGCACAAACATTGCCCTGGTTTGGGTGAGAGTGCCCAGGCTGAAGATTTCTGTGCACAGGCAGCACAGAGGGATTATTCCTCAGCAAAGCCAGGAGCTGCACCCAGACCAGCATCCTTGCTGTGCCGTGGGGATTTTCCCTTACAGAGAATTCAACCCTGGGAGCTCAGCTCCTCTTGATCTCCTGCTAGACATCCCAAATATCCTCCTGTGGAAATGCCATCCTTCCCAGAGGCTGCATCACATTTTTGGCTACCAAGTTCCAAGGCTGGCTTGCTGGAAGAAACCCAAGAAGCTTTATACTGAATTTTCCCTCTGGGTACTCCTCCCTTGGCACGGAGGGAGTTATGAATAAGGGGTGATCTCTTCCAGTGACTGGAAAGGGTGGGAGCCTGGGAGGAGCATTACCTCCTGTTTGGATATGTGGGCATCAGCAGGTGCTGGGTAGATGCTCCTGTTAACCTTTAAAATCTCTGTTCATGAATTCACAAGTTCCAACACTTCACCAGCGTTTCTGGCTTCCTGTATTTTCATTCCCACCCTGGTTGTTGCCACCAGATGAGACTAAAATCCCATTAAATAAGGCCCAGCGAGGGCCTGCTGCTTTTTAAAGGGCTCCTCTCCGATTTTCTGGGAATACTGAAGGAGTATACTGAGTTCAGCTTTCTGTTTATCTCAGCAGAAATCCGGTGGCAAATCAAACAAGTTTGTTTTCCATCCAGCCTGGTACCTAATTTTGACTAATTTAAACCCTCTTCCAAGACATTCCCAACCCATTTGTGTGTGATGGGTGATTTCTCCTTGCTTGGGTAAGTCACTTCTCAGGGTAAAGAAAATTTGGGATGAGTGGTGCTGGTGCTCCACCTTCGCCCTGCCCTGGGCTCCTGGATCAAACGGAATGGGAGAAAATTATTTGGCATTGATTTTTTTTTTTAATTCCTTCACTCATCAGAGTCAGGGGAGGATGTACCCATTGCCCTCCTTACTGGCTGGGATGAAAGCTACCCAGACTGGGAAAGTGGGATTTGTTGGAAATGGGATGCGATGAACAACCAGCAGGAGGAGCAGGAGATTGGGGCAGCGGAGGCTGCGGGGAAATTCCCGTCCCAAAAACCCACTCAGGCCCCAGTTTCCTTAAGGAAAATCCTCCTGTTTGTTCTTGCCTCCCGTCCCCGCGGTCGGAGCGAGGTTTATCTGTAAAAGCTTGAATTTTGCCACGTCTCAGAGAGCAGGGCCAGGCCTTGGGCTCAGCTTTTGGCTCTTTATTCCTTGTTCAGGACCCATTAAGGAGCTGCTCCTCCCCAGCTTCCCAAAACCATGGCTCCAAATGAGTGTTGTATTTAGCAAGGCTAAACAGAGCAGAGGATGAAGTTTAGCACTAGATGATGCTAAATGCTGGCTTTTCAAACCCCTGGGCTTTCTCTTCCCCTTGCAGAATTGCTTATTTCCCACAGCCACAGGGGCAGAGTGTCCGGGATGATGCTGGAACGCCTGGAGGGTGCCTGGAGGGTGTCGGTCCCCATCTCCCCAGTATTCGGGAGCCTCGTCTGACCTTTTCAGGCACCTGCCTTCCTGCTCAGCTCCTTTTTCCTGCTCATTCCTCCCACCCTGCTGCTTGCTCCCTATCCCACTGCTCCTTATGGAGCCCCTTGCATGCCGCCTGAGCTCCTGCATTCACCATCCTACCTTTCGTCCCCATCCCTCAGCTCTGGGGGCTTGGAAGAGGTGGATAACTCCACTTCCAGCTCCCAGGGTGGAGGGAAGGCTTGGAGAAGGGAATTGGAAGCATCGTCTTGTCCCATCCCTTGGCTCCACAGAGCCCTCTTCCCTACGTGCATGGCTGGAGAAGGGAAACTCCTCTCCAGGCAGGCTCTCCCTGGTGCCGAGGGAAGCCTGGGATGCCCGGAGAGATCTGAAGGAGGACTCTGCAGATGCTGAGCATCCCTTCCTGGCACGATGGGAGGCAGGAGCCGTGTCCTGCATCCCTGCCAGGTGCCTTCCCACCGCCTCACGCCCGCTCTCCCCTCCCCGCCGCCGCCGCCGAGGCTCTTCCTCTCCCCCTCAATTATTTTTATTTTATTTTTTTTTCGGGGTGCCAATAAAGGCAGGCTCCTTTAATCATCCCCAGCTTTAAGAGGGAAAACGGAGAGCGCCAGGGAGAGAGTGCAGTGAATTTAGAGACTCATCTTACCCCACCATGTTAATTATCTCGGCTGTAAAAAAGAGGTCAAGGAGAGGAACTCTACTAAATAGGCCGACGTTGGCATGAACAGCTCCTAAAGTGAAGAAGGTAAGACTGAACTTTACTGGAACTTTTTTTTTCCATCTCTTCAAAAAGCTCCTAGATTAAAGCTCTGATATCCTTTTTGTTGAAATCTCATGGATTCTGAAGCTCAAATGGCTGGAAGGAAGCCCAGATAATTTTTTTTTATCCCAGTCACTGAGAGGCTCAAAGGTTTTAAGTCCTGCCCCCATGGTGAATTGCCGAGTATATGGGAATACAGAAGAACCTGGCACATAGGTGTTCTGGCCATTGTTATCGAGAGGGAGAAAAATAAAATAGCTCTCTATGTAGGTCAATGACCTGCTCTTTGTTGTCAGTAAAAAATTAAGGATGACCTAAAATCTACTACTCAACGAAAAAAATAATAAAATAAAAAAAAAAGAGGCGAGGTAAAGTAGTCTCCCCCTAATCAAAGAGGAAATGTTTGTGTTACCCAAAGCTTGACCTCCTCAGTCTCTAACTTTAGCAAAGTCTTTGCCATTGAAAAAGCAGTGGTCGAAACCTCAAACCCTGTCTGAAATGTCTATTAATTTTTGATCTTTCAAGGGAGTTGGCTCAGTTATTGTAGAAGCCCCCGTAGTGCTGCAGTTAAGGGGCTCTCAGCATTTCCATCATAAAGCCCCAATATTCCAGGGCTTACAACTCAGCTGTTGCCATGCTGGGGCTGTCTGATCCCCTTGGTGGATGTGCTGCCATCCCCCTCTGCCTTCCAAGGGAAGAGAGCATGCAAATTAGTGAGAACAGATCAGTTTTTATGTATATATTAAAAAAAAATAAATTTTTTTCCAAGCTTGCAAGGTACCTGGAGCTCTGTGGTCCAGGAAATTCTCTGCATGCCCTGCGTTGGTTTGGTCACCCCATCTCTTCAGGGGGAGAAGCCTAAAATTAGGGAAGCACTGGGCTTTTAGGATGGGGCTGGAGGATAAAGTTTCAGGTGTAAAGGGAGCTCAGGTGAAGGAATTAAAGCCAGCTCTTGTTAAGCACAGTGCCACTTGTATCATCCTCCCTTTCCCATCCCTGTCCTTCCAGTCCTCATGGCACCAAGTATGCGTTGCATTCATCCCTAGATTTTTGGCTGAACCAGAAGTTGATTAATATTTGATTTCTGGATGTCTTGTGGAGACTCTCATTTATAAGGTGGGATCAAATCATTCCCTCTCTCCCTGTTTCTGGTCCATGATATGCAGGAACTTTGCTTTCACCACCTACTTCCAATTAATCTTGCCTGCCTGGAGGGGAGAGGGTTGAAGCCAGACTGGCTTTTCAGGGAGGCTGGCAGGTGATGGAATTCACTGTGGCCCCAAGAATTTTCATCAGGATAAGATCAAGTGGCTGAGCTCTTAATAAAAAAAAAAAAAGGAAAATATCCAGATTCCCTGTGTCTAACTATCCAGGCACTTAAAGTCCTACAGAAACATATTTTTCTGTATTTTTCCATGTTTTTACAGGCAATTTTTATGCTCATCTGTGAGATGTGGATGGACATGGATGAGCCTCAGCCCTGGCTATGAACCAAGGTGGATCTGTTTGTGACTTGTGTGGGATGAAGGGGTGGGAGTGTTGCTCCACGTCCCACAAACTGTCCTGAGCATCTCCTGGGGGAGGTGTGCTGGATCTGGGATGCAGGACATGCTGATTTTAGGAGAAATAGTCAGGAAACAGGAAGAAGGAAAAGCTGAAGCTGAGTTGCTTCTGTCCGTGGGAAGAAGATTTAGGCTGTGCCTGGCACCAAAATGTCCTTTCCTTTTGTCTCTGCTGTGGCAGCTGGAAGATGTGGGAGCACGTGGGAAGCCTTGCCATGGATCACGGCATCTTTTCTGCTTCCCACGGGCAGGACTCCTGGGCTCTGTGCACAGGGGACGCACAGCGAGGTCACCACGGGATCCCAGAACCATTTGGGTAGGAAGGGACCTCAAAGCCAAACTCATTCCCGCCATGGGCAGGGACACCTCTCACTACCTCGGCTTGCTCCAAACCCCATCCTTGGCCACTTCCAGAGGCAGCCCCACAGTGGGGTGCTGGTGGGACCCCTCTCCTTACCGCAGGGAGTCCGGGGTGCTGCAGAGCGGGGCCAGCCCCTCATCGCTCTGCAGGTTGGGGTTGGCTCTGTACTCCAGCAGCAGCTCCACACAGTCGCTGTGCCCTCCCTGGCAGGCGTCGTGCAGGGGTCCCTGGCCCCCCGGGCCAGGTTGGGGTCGGCCCCGCGGCACAGGAGGTGGCGCAGGCAGTCGGGGTGGCCGTGGCGGGCGGCGAGGCACAGAGGGGTGCTCAGCTCCTGCCTCTCCTCCAGCGCCCACAGCTCTGTGGGACACGGGAATGGGATGAGCCCTTGCATTCCCGTCCCCTGGATTCCCACCCCAAGATTCCCATGCCCTGGATTCACATTCCTGGATTCCCATCCCCTACCCACCAGCCTGGTGGCTGAGCCAGTTCCAGACACCACTTTTCCCACTTTTCTCTGTGAGAGGAATGAAGGATTTGTCTTTACAAACGAGCTGTGGGTCTGCTGGTAGATAAAACCAGCACTGAGAGGTGAAAGAAACAACGGGATGGATTCCACTGATGGATGAATGGAAAAATATATTTACGAACAAACTGCACGTTTGCTGATAAATGAAATTGGATATTGACAGATGGAAGAAGCAATGGGGGAAAACCATGAATTCTATAAGAATTAAAAATTAAAAGGGCGAGTTATACATTAGAGGAGAATCTTCGGTATCTTAGGTTCTGGGAAGTCTGTACCGCTCAAGTACCTCAGCCAATGGGGAAATTGCCAGGAAATTGGGATAAAAAGGGAGGCTGCATTCTCCAAAAATTTGAGAGATCCCAGGGAATGTCCCATGGCCTCTCCCTTTATTCAAATAAAGCAAAAAGGACTCCTCTGTCTCCTGTTTGGACATAAACCCCTGGTGTTTGTGGATTTATTTTCCTGACATCTGCCAGCTTTGGGTGCTGGTTGCACTTGGTGGCTCTGATTGCAGCAGGCAAGAGGGGAAACAAAACTCCCTCATCCAGGAGCAGGAGGATTCCAGGTGGAATCAGGTGGGCAAGCCCACGCCCTGCTGGCCACTAGGGCACATGGTCCTGTGTGCGAGGGGCTGGCAGGAGCTTAAAGGCAGCTCACCAATTCCCCAGGAAAGGAAAAGCTGTCTTTGCTGGGAGTGAAGGCACACAAGCCAGGTGGGAGGGTGATGGAGGGCTGGATTTGGGATGTGCTGAGTTTGGGATCAGCCAGAACCAGGAATTGCATTTCCCAGCAGCTCCAGGACCACCTCCTGGGCATGGTGATCCATGGCGAACATCACCTCAGGAGGTACCACCATCCTGAGGCCATCTTATCCCTCACAGATAGGACCATGAGCAATTTGGGCTGTGACCCCTCCTGAAAGCATTCCCAAGATACAGAGTGTCTAATCCCAACCTGAAGAAATCATGTGGATGCACAGATTTTACACTTCCACTGGGTTAGTATGTGCAAAAGAGAAGAAAATATTAAAAATTATGACTATTAATGGCCAGAACTGTGGGCTACACCTAAATGCACTGCACCTCTCCTGTTTATGGGTTAGTAAATACCCATTTATTTCATTTTCCTGGCCTGGCCTTTAAAGGAAAAGTACCTGAGAGTCTGTAAGAAGCTTGGCTTTTCACCTGCCACTCCAGCTCGTTCTCACTGATCTCAAAGACCATGTTGACATCTTGGTATCTCTCAGTCAGGACCTGGAGGCTCCTCAGGTCCCCCGTGACCAAGGCTGTGTAAAACCTGCTGATGGGAGCACGAGGTGCTAAGGGCTGCTCCGGATCCAATTTGGAGGAAATCATCAGCTTTCCTGTCACAGCTCCTGACTTGCTCATTCCAGTGCTGCCCAGTGTGGCTGGGGGGATAGCCAGGCTTTTATAGTTCATTGTTTCCATCCTCTTGGCTCATTGTCTAGTTCTAATCCAGTCCAGGCTCTGTTGTGCAGTATTTATAACTCCAGAGGGGCTGGAGCACGATGGACACGGGGTACAGCGAGGGTCGGGAGGTCATCAGGCCATGCTGCAGCAGCACCTCTTGGATTCAATTGCTGGATTATTTGGAGGCTCCAACTTGGGACAGGGGTGTTTAGGCTGCCTAGTGCTTAGGAAACTAAAAAAATAATTAAAAAAAATATAAAGAAATTTAGTCAACTGCTGTCTATTCATCCCCAGTAACCTTTTCGTGTCCTCTGAGCTCTGGGAGGTTTTTTCCCCTCTCTGTTTTCTTTTATTCATGAAGGTGCCCATATGAGATTCCAACGGTGTGGTTGCTCTTTGCAAAAATCTGGGCTATGTGTTCCTGGCCCAGCCTGGAATGCTGGGATGTCTGTGCAGGGATGCAAAGCCAGCGAGGTACTAATCCTCCTGGGTCTTTGGCAGGGGAAGCTGCTCTCCCAGACAGTGCCTTGTATAGGAGAGAGAAAGCACACAGACACTGCTGCCATGGGATGCCAGCAGAGCTCTCCCTGTTCCCACTTCCCCCAAGCTCCTCTCCTCAGGGTCAGCAGAGAAATCCATGGTGGGGACAAGAATAGAGATTGGCATTTCGTGACTTAGAGGCTCTGGGTGACAGAGCTTCCCCTTCCCAGCTCTCCCATCCACCTCTCTGGGGAATAAACCTGGTCAAAGCAGATTCTGGGATGTTAAACCAGAGCTGGGATGCTGCATGGCTCCCTCTGCATGGAGTCAACCTGAGGCTGGGAGAAAATTTTGGGACCTTCCTGGGGATCCTGAGCATCCTATGCTGCCAGAGCCAGCTGAGGTTCCTCTGTATGTGTCTTCAGCATGGCTGTGGTGACATTCACCTCTGGCCCTGGGGACTGTGGGCAGGGAATGGAGCCCCAAAAACTCCATGGTGTGTCTGTGCAGCATGGGGTTTGCTGAGCTAAGGGGTTTCTTTGTGAAGGAACCCCCTTATTCATGGGAATATTCGTGGGAGCTAATTTGAGGCCATCCTAGGTGGTCTTCTGTGCTTTCTCCTTCTTTCCCCCTTCATCTCAAGGCTGGAATTCCCACCTGGCTGTCCACAACCTCTCTTGGTTTGGAGCCTCCAAACCCCCTCATTTCTCCCTCTGCTTTTATCACTTGTTGCTGTTCTGCTCCTCCCAGCCGTTCTGTGCCCATTTCCCCTCTGGGATGAGCTGAACCACCTCCTCCAAGCACTGCTCTGGTATGAAAAACATCCTCGTTATCCCCCGGGGTCCTCCAGCCAGCACAGGAGAAGGTTTGGAGATCCAGACAGCGGCAAAGACGGGGATCATTTACCCCAGGAACTTCTCCTGGGTCGTGTTCCCAGAGCCTGGCTCGCTTTTCCTCTCCTCTCATTAGCAACCCTGTAATATTTCTGTGATGACATGGAGGAATCCTGCCTTCACATGTCCTTGCTCACTCCAAAGGGGTCACCTTCCCCTTTGAGGCAGGGATTACCTCCCTGGGTAAATTTAGCAGGGAGTCCAGACCTTGTGTGTCAGACCTGGGCTAATTTCGTTATTGGGGTTATGTATGTGCCTGTCTGGCATTAAACTGCCCTTGAGAGTGTGTTCTAACACGCCGTGACCCTTCTCAATCAGCATCTGTTTGCATATAAACACTCGAGTCTGGGCCAGGATTAACTGGTGGATGAGGGAAGGACTTAAAAATAACCTGGGACAGCAAGAGTGGAGAGAACAGGTCCCCCTGGCACCCAGATCCCCGGTCTGGGCTCCTGCAAGCCAAGGAAGTGCTGTTTCCACCCGGGAGTGCAGAGTGATGGGGATGAAGCGATGCTGCTGTGGATTTAAAGGGAATACAGCTGCACAGGCGGGTGGGATTTACTGCAGAGAGGAGCCAGGACAGCTGGGGAACATCCTGGGCTTGGCCAGGAGCAGGGGGAGAACCCCCTGGTGGGGTTTAGAAGGAAAATGAGGGCGTTTCAGCTACTTGTAAAGCACTTGTTGCCTTCAGGCAGCGAGTTTGGGTGATGAAAGAAACCCTACAAGCCTCTCCTCTGCCACTCCTGTGTTGCAGGACCTTGGGCACACCACAGCTTTATGATCCGTGAGGGTCTGATCCTACAAAAATTAAGCCTGGGATGATCCTGTCCTGTCCTTACTTCAGCAGGGATGCCCCTACACAGACCAGAGCCCCAAAAAGGGGTGAGAGTCAGCACTTGCAGCCTCGCCCTCATCAACATCCAATGCAGGGGGAGCATCTTCCCCTTCTCCCTGTGCCCGATGTTTGCAGAGCACACCTCATTGAACAAAACATTAAGCATTTCCCTTCCTCACATCAAGTGTGTCTATTAATAATGGCTTAAATTGCCTGCTCCAGCTCCCCATTACGGGGAAATCTCATTCCTGGCACAGGCAGGAGCACAACACACAGCAGCAGAAGTGTTTAGAGAGAGCTTGTCCCCCAAGTTCAGCTGCCACATATCTCAGTGCTCACTCTGGGGAGATCTCAGCCCTCCTGGTTCCAAAAGCCACGAGGCTGTATTAAAACACCCAGATGTGCAGAGCCCCTGGCACCACCACCCTGATTTACAGCAGGGAATGGCAGTATTATCATTATTATTTTTCCAGGGAAGTTTCCAGCACGGTGCAGGAGCGCAGTGCAGGAGCCTGGAGCATCACCTCCTCCAGAGTGGCTGATTTAAACCTCGCATTCCCTCCTAGCCCCCCCAGATCACTCAAACAGGGTCTCTGTGGTGGCAGTGTCCCCCCAGCACCCCATGGCTGTAGGACTGAGGGGTGTGGAGGCGGGATGGCAATGCCACCACGCCCCAAACCTGCCTTGGAATGACGTGAGTGCGGCTCTCCTGGGGGATGGGCACTCATCCCCCCTGGATCACCATCCCGGGCCAGGCAGAGCGAGGTGTGAGGTTCGATGCCCTCTCTGGGAGCCACCCTGCCCCCGGCACGTCCCCGCGTTTATATTGGCAGCTCTCCATGTGACAGCACTGCCCAGTTATGTGGCTGGGTCAGGCTGTGGGATGAGCCCCTGCCAACACACGTCCCTGTGCCTGGGGAGGGGGCCATGCCTTTAACCCCCTCAAAAATACTTTTGCAGATGCTGCTGCTCAGCTCTTCTTTAAAAGCTGCTGCCCCAGTGAAATATAAACTCGTGCCGAGGCTGCATTGATTTTGTCCAATTTTTATCGGAAATTAGATGATGTTTAAGCATTTCCCTTTAACAGCTCTATATAATATGGAAAGGTCCTGTGCTACAGTTAGTTTATAGTGGCCCATCTTTGTCAGATGTAAATAATTCAATAAACCCTTCCCCAAATTCTTTCCAGTTATAACTGCATTACTTTCCTTTTTTCTCCCTTTTCCCATTAATTATAGGAATAATTAAAAAAATAGCTCTTAGCTTAAATAAAAATCCAAGGCTTCTCTTCTCCCTACCTCCCTGCTGAAGGGCTGCAGCTGTGTTAATTATCCCCCAGGAATTCAGTCCTGGGGCACATCCTCTTGTAAATGTGGAGCCCTCCCAGTTATTTAACCCCTGAGTTATGTGCTCATGGAATGTCACCCTGTGTGCTAGGCTGGAACACCAGCTCGGGCTGACCCTCCATCACGTGTCTCCCATACAGTCTCAGGATCAGGGGCTCCTTGTGGGGTCCATAATGTGGGATTTCCTCCTGGGATGGGAGACACCCATCTGTGATCTGCTTCGTGTCACCATCACCACTCACAGACTGCCACCTATAAAGGGTTTATAAAGGATTACAAGGTGATGACCCAGCTCTGGGCATTTCAGGACTCAGATCCTGGCCCTTTTGCTCCAACTTGAGGAATCTGAAGCAGATTCACCTCATTCCCTAGCTGGAATTCCAGCACAGTCATCACCATGGGAGGTGGAAGCAGAGGAGCTGGATGGCCACCACGAGCTCCAACAAGCCCTTGACTTGGTTTCATGTCATCCAGAGTTGTTTTGCTCCTGAGCACAATTAGTTTTTGACACCTGAAAGCACCAGGCAGTTGTGGAAGTTATTTATGGATTGGAGGATGTTTCCCAAGCACACCCTAACTTAGAAAGTTATAGAGATAATTGCTTGCCCTCTGGGATGCAGAAGAACAAACCCGGCTATCCCTTGTTGCCCACACCCATTTCTGGGGGATTGATTTATCCCTTCCCACTGGACACAGGAGAACTCGGCCTGTCATTGTTAATTAGTGGGGCCTTGGCCCGGTTCATCAGGGCCCCCAGCTCTCCTGGAGCAGCTGCACTCTCAGGAGGGACCCACCTGGTTTGTGCTGGGCTCTGCCCCCGTCCCTGCCCCTCTTCCCATCACCTGTGGGGCAAGGCTGCAAATTACAGGTTGTGGTGTGGTGGGAAGAGCAGCTGCTCATCTGTCACGGCAGAATTGTCAGCGTCAGCACATTGTGCCCAGTGCCACCCCCTGCCCTCCCACTCTGCATATGGAGGACTTTGGGATGTCCCTGATGGGGGAAATGCAGTGTCACCAGCAGGGCAGGGACATCCCGAGACTGGGAGATTTCAGGGAGCAGGGATGGGTTGGCACATACAAAATGGAATGGTGGCTCAGGGCAGGAACCTGCTTTAGGCTCCTGGGTGGGTCAGAAAAGACCCTGTGAGGTTCGGGCAGGTTTTGGGACCCCGTGTGTCCACACCAGTGACCCTCCGACCCACCCACGGGGGTGACGTGGGGGCCACCACAACAGGCTTCCATCGGCCTTGGAAACCACACCTAACTCCAAATCTCTGATGCCTTTTAGCACTCCTCCCTGCCCAGCACCCCCTCCCTCCCTGGGAAGCCTTTTGGTGGCATTTGGGATGGAGCCCTGTGGGTAATTAGAGTAATTATGGGTGTAGCCTCCCAAACTTTGTGCTGAGCCGTGCTAATGGCTCATGGTTTGCATGACTCCCATCTCCTGCTAATCTCC